ATGATTAAAACTCAAAAATAACCTCCAGAACAATGAATCAGACATAAAAATAGACGAATTTTTATAATGAATTCAAGAATTGCTAAAATCACAACCAAGCATCTGGTTCTTACAAAATCACCTTTGAATGACATCAAGTTTTGCAGAGAATTTCCAAATAAATAATGGACCTATTCCAAGTCCCGAAACCCAAAATTCGAACCTGGTAGTCATAAACACAACCTACGATCAAACTTACGAAATTTCTAAACCTTCAAATTGCCAACTTTCAGTAAAACCAAGCTAGGAACCTCTGAATTCAATTCCAGGTTTACGTCTAAGTCCAAAAATCACCATCCAGACCTGACGGAACTATCAAAACTCTGATCCGTGATCAAATACGAAAAAGTCAAACTTGGTCAACTCTTCCAACTTATAACTTCTAAATCAAAAGTCATTCTTCCAAATCAAATTCCGAAGCACTCGAAAACCAAAAATGACTATACACTCAACTCATTTTACATCATATGAAGATATAAAAGGTCTCAAACCACTGAATGGAATGCTAAAGCTCAATTCAACCGGTCAGGTCATTACAGTCGGGGCCCGATGAACTAGAATGCCCAATACGGAAACACATATAATCCATGTTTTAGAAATCACTCCAAATTCTCATGGGGTAGAAATCAATCAAATCAGAAATAGTATGGACTCCAAGGATATTATAACCAGGTCTAGAAGCCACCTCAACAAGTAGAGGAGAGCACAAATGATTTGTTGAAAAATCTATTAGTTGACAATCATTAACTCAGAAGTTATTATCCATATTTGGAAAGACAAATTGGGCAGTTGGCTGTAAATCAAAATATCAGACATGTGGGAGCTCTTCCAAGTGATATTGAAAATAATCCTCAAGTTAATACTGTAACTCTGAGGAGTTACAATGAATCAGAAGAAGCACTGCAAAAGCGAAAAGAAAAAGTCAACCTTGAGGGTGAATTAGTCCCTAAGCATGTTGATAAAAGTAAGAAGCAAAGCATCGATGATGAGAAAGTACCAGTTGCAAGGGCTCTAATGCCTTTTCCCCAAACACTGCAGAAAAACAAGGATGACCGAATGTTTAACAAGTTTTTGGACATGCCGAGCCAAGTCCAATTAAACCTGCCCCTGGTTGATTGGCTACGCAAAATTTTGAAACATGATTAGTACCTCAAAGATAAAGTGGCAATCAAAATAAGGTAGACTGAATTTGAAATGGTGGCACTCACTGAAAAATGTACCTCAAGAATTCACAGGAAACTTCCCCAAAAATTGAAAGATCCTGGGAGCTTCACGATTCCTTTGAGAATTGGTGAAGTAGATGTAGGGAGAGCATTATGTGATTTGGGGGGCAAGCAAAAATTTGATGTCATTTTCAGTTTTCGTCGCTAAACTAGATAAAGATATTATTCTAATCTGTATTGTCGATTGGGGTTGGGCGCTCCAAGACCCACTACAGGCATCTTGCAATTAACTGATAGATCCGTTGTCCATGCCGAGGGGGTAATAGAAGATGTATTGCTGCAAATTGGTCAATTCATTCTCCTTTTAAATTTTATCATTTCAGACTATGAAGCTGATGAATACGTCCCAATCATATTGGGGTGACATCTCTTAGCAACAACTGATGTGGTCATCAATCTAGAGAAAGAAAAATAATTCAGAGAGTTGATAATGTGGAAGCAGTTTTTAATAGTTTTAAAGAAATTTAGCTTCCAAGCAATTATGAGGATCTTGCCATGATATTTGTGGTAGAGAAAGATGAAGAAAGAGTGACTTGGGTGTATATCTAGACGAATCTCTAGAAAAAGCACTCATGTTGTTGGACAAGGAGATATTGCATATTTGGATGCATGTTCTTACATGAAAGTGGTGATCAATTCTGAGCCTCTAGATAGACTTACTGGGCCTCCACCCAAGTCTTCTATAGAAGAATCTCCCAATTTGGACCTTGAACCCTTACCCTCTCACATTCACTGTGATTATTTGGGTTCTAATGAAACTTTACCTATTTGACTTACATGAAGAGAATTTGCCCAGAGTGTTTACAGCAAACAAGCGCACAATCAGTTGGACCATGGCTGATATACATGGAATTAGCCCAACATTATGCATGCACAAAATTCTCATAGAGCATGGGCACAAATGAAGTATGGAACGCCAATGTCACTTGAATCCAGCCATGAAGGAGGTAGTGAGAAAAAAGGTGATAAAGTGTTCCGACTCAGATATTATCTTTCCTATCACTAATATCAAGTGGGTGAGCAAAGTCCAATGTGTGCCTAAAAAGGTAGAATGACAATGGTGGTAAACGAAAATGATGAATTGAGTCCTACCTAAATTTTCACAGGTTGGAGAAGTGTCATAGATAACAGGAAATTGAATAAAGCAACAAGAGAAGATCGTATCCCCCTTCCCTTTAGTGATCAAATGTTAGATAGGCTAGCTAGACATGGTAATATTATTTTCTTGATGGATATTCTAGCTATAGCCAAATTTTGATTGCACCGGAGGATCAATAGATGGCAACCTTAACTTTTTCTTTGGCACATATGCTTTCAAAAAAACGATATTTTGGTTGTGAAATGCACCCTGACTTTTCAAAGGTGTACGATGGCAATTGTTAATGATACGGTGGAAAATTTTGTTTAAGTGTTATATGGAATTTTTTTTGGTTTTTTGACCATGTTTTGATGAATGCTTAACAAATTTGAATAAAGTGGTTGCGAGGTATAAGGAAACAAACTTGGTGTTAAACTGAAAGAAGTGTCATTTTATGGTACAAGAAGGAATAGTGCTCCGGCACAATGTATCTAAAGATGGGTTGGAGGTGAATAAGGCAAAAGTTAAGGAAATTGAAAAATTGCCAACTCCCATTATGCAGGTTGTTTGAAAAGGGTATTCCTTTCAAGTTTGATGATTCTTGCTTGAAGGCATTTGAGGAACTAAAGAGGAGATTGGGAAGAGTCTTTTGAGCTTATGTGTGATGCCAGTGATACTGTAATTGGAGTCACCTTGGGCCAAAGAAAAAATAAAGTGTTCCATTCAATTTATTATGCTAGCAAAACTCTGAATCTAGCATGGATAAATTATATAGTTACAAAGAAGGATTTTCCAGTCGTAGCATGGGGGTTGACCAAATTTAGATCCTACTTGGTGGGAACTAAAGTCATCATCTACACTGGCAGTGGCGCCATCACGTATTTATTTGAGAAAACGATATAAGCCGAGAATAATTCATTGGATTCTTTTTTGAAGGAATTTGATGTGGAGATTCGAGATTGAAAGGGGACCTAAAATTAGGTGGCCGATCACTTTCCGTGCTTAGAAACTCTCGTGCATATAGCTGGAGAAGGTATATTTAAGGGGAGCTTTCCCGTTGAGCAGTTGTAAGCTACCAGAGCTACAACTGCCCCATTGTATGCAGATTATGTGAATTTCATTGTGAGTGCAGTGAGACCTCTAAAGTTATCACCGGATGGTAAGATAAGGTTCATTTATGATGGTTGATTTTATAAATGGGATGAGTCGTGTTTCTTAAGTAATGTGCAGATAAAATAGTGAGACGTTGTGTCCCTTATGAAGAAATGGAAGTCATTCTATATGACTGCTAGGCATCGCCATATGGAGGGCACCGTAGTGGTGAGAAAACAACTCGAAAAGTGTTATAGTCAGGGTTTTATTGGGCTGCTATGTTCAAGAATGCAAAGGCTTTTGTGAAAAGGTGTGATAGGTTCCAAAGACCGAGTGCAATTTTGAGGAGGCATACTTAAGATTGATATCTTTGATGTGTGGGGCATAGACTTAATGAGACTGTTTCCGTGCTCAAATGTTCACATGTATATTTTGGTAGCGGTTAATTATGTGTCCAAGAGGGTAGAGACCATGGCTTTGCCTAAAAATAATGCTAAATCTTTGTGAAAAGAAATATCTTCACATGATTCGGGACTCCACACTCTTTGATTAGTGATGGGGGCACTAACTTTTGTAAACAATTATTAAGCAACCTCTTATCAAAGTATGGGGCCAAACACAAGGTCCATACAGCTTATCATCCACAAACTAGAGGCCCAGTTGAGGTATCTAATAGAGAATTGAAGAAAATTCTAGAGAAAATGGTGAGTGCAAGCAGGAAGGATTAGGCCCTTAAGCTTGATGATGTAATATGGGCATATCACAATACATTTAAGACTCTAATTGCCACTTCACCTTATAGGTTTGTTTATGGGATAGCTTGTCACTTCCCCGTTGAGCTTGAGCTCAAAACGTATTGGGCAATTAAAAAGCCCCACTTTGATATATGTCTAGCTGGGTAGAAAAGAATGTTGACACTCAACGAGCTTGATGAGTTTCAGTTGCATGCGTATGAGAATGCAAAATTATATAAGGATAAGACATAATGATGACATGAAAGCACATTATACATAATGAGTTTGAGTTGGGTCAAGCCGTTCACTTAGTTAATTAAAGGTTGAAGTTCTTCCCTGAAAATTGCAAATCTATATGGTGGGGTCCATTTGAAGTAGTGCGGGCTATAAAGCATGGAGATGTGGAACTTTGAGATCCCTAGAATAGTGGTACCTTCTTGGTAAATGGAAAAGTGCGAAACACTATTACGGTAGTGGCGTTCATCATCATAAAACCTTGAAGGACTTCATAAATGCTTGAAGGAATACTCTGCATCATGCCGCGATGTTAAATCAGGTGTTTCATGGGAGGCAACCCATAATGTGTTGTATTTATCATGCCATGACATTAACTAAGGCACTCATTGGGAGGAAACCCAATTTTGTAGATTAGTTTAACTTAGTTTGAATTTTGTTTTTGGTTTCGTGGAGGCCTAATGAGCTGATTTTGTGTAAATTACAGTTGTTTGGCTGGGTACGAGCGCGATGCAATTAAAAGATGTGGTTGGGAGGCAATAGCACACAAAAGAGCGAAAAACATGATAAAAAATCACCCGATAGCGCGCAGCCAGGCCCATGGCATAGCATACCTCGCGCCTGGGCTCGCATAACGCACTTTCTCCTTCACCCTGATCCACGTCGCATGGCCTGGAATGACCAATCTCGCACCCCAGCTCACTAGGCGAGCTCCCCTCCTCGCCCTACACCTTGCGGTGTGCCCTCTGGCACCATGTAAGTCACCTCTCCCCTTTTCTTTTATTTTCACCCTTATTACCGCCGACAAATCCGCCCAAAACACACAAAGGCCCCTCGCCAGAAATCCCCTCTTATCCTCACTTATTCATAATACTCTCCCAAACCTTTCTCTTCCTCACCACACTAATACCCCCACTAACACACACGCCTCCATACCTTCCATCTTCACTTATTTTTAAGAATCAAGGTATGATTATCTTCCCTCTTTCTCTTCTATTGATTATTTGATGAAGTTAAAGATAGCTTGCAAGCTTTTATAAACTTTTTAATGGTGATTTGTGCTACAACTTGTCCCAACCCCATGCACCCCATAGGATTGTTATTTTTATTGTTGAAAAGTGTTTACACTCAATTCCCACGTCGGTTTGGGAAGGTGAGGCAATCCCCCGACCACATAGAAGCTTACAGACAAATAGTGCCATACCAAGTGTTCGATAGAATGCCTCAAAGGCAAAGTTTGCCCCGAATGGAGTCTTGAGTCTTCGTGATTGATAGACCAGTGCTATGTGAGCTTGATTAATGTGGAATTTAATTGTGAGGTGGCTCAAAGGAGCCAGGGTATATTGATAAAGTATGGTGGCTACATTGTTGTTATTAGTGTACTAATTAACTTGAGAATGCAAATATTCTTAATTGTACAAGGTGAATTCTAAGTAACCTTGAATTAATTGACAAACCATATGATAAACTTTAAGTGTAGGTTTTTGACGACCACTTTTTTCACTAATTCATGGTTCCACAAGTTGACTAATCGTGTTGTTTGTAGGTACATTGATAATGGTGCGTCCAACTCCCGATGCTAAACCTTCGGCCAAGGCCATGGCCCCAGAGGAAAGTCATCCTCTTCCACACCACCGCCTAAGAAAAGTAAATGATGTGATGCTGTATCTAGTAGCCAAATTAAAGGGAGGTAAGAAGTGGAAGAAATTTCCGCATAAAAACAACGGGCTAGGGGTGAGCGTGAATATGGGATCAAGAGTGTACCTCTCTCTGCCAAGGCATGGTATAAAAAAATGTCACCCCAATAATTATCATCCTGATTTGGCTATATAGTAGAACCGATTGAAGTCAAAAACACCCTGAAACCTGGCATGATATACATGACTTGGGCCTAAGCTTTGTGTTTTGAAATATTAGAGATGCAAATTTAATCCTGCTTGGAGAATTTTATGATGGAAGGTATCTTGAGTAGTAAGAGCAATTGGTGCCTATCCATGGGCGATCGATTTGACATATCTGCTAGTGAGCTGTGAAACCACTTGGTGGCAGCTGATGTTCTGCATGCTCCATTGGCCAATTTCATTGCCTTGCTGCCTTATAGAGAGATTTGACACACTTTTTGTGATTTCAATTCCAATGCCACTTGGATTTGGGAGAAAAGAACTAACAGCAACGTTAAATTTTCAAGGAAGAAGTTCAACGTTGCTGCTGACATATGGTTGAAGTTATTGAACTCGAGGTTGCAGTCGTGTGACCATGACACACACATTAGCAAGGACAGAGTTTGCATGCTGTAATCTTTTATGACATGACAAAAGGTTAAAGTGGGAAAGCTGATACGCCACCGATGTGAATGTTTGGAGGAGTAACAGAGTGGTCATGATTTTCTTTGGCAATGTGGTGATGGATTTTTAGAAAGGAGGAGGTCGACGAGGAGCTAGAGTTTGACATGATTATTCCCGCCGCTCCTCGTGCCACATATATTACTAGCATTCGTGGGAAGGGCGAGGAAGATGGGTCATTTTTTACCAATGTCAAGCGTCAGAATCGTGATGATAGCTTTATGAAAAACCTCTATGGGATGCTTGATCTATATTTGCAGATTGGTGGTAGACCTACAACTCTAGAGGAACGTGCATAGTTGAATGAGCGATTTTCACTCGATGCTCATGCCCAGCACTTGGTGGGGATTGCTGATGTAAAAAGGATTCCTACTTATGAGGACATTAACACTCTCGAACATTCGGTGCGTGGAGATGAGGAGCAGCAAGAGTAGGAGGCTGATGAGGGTGATTATGATCATTTGGGAGATGATGTTGATGATTGGGAGGAGGCGGACCGAGTCTTCTTTTCAGAGGATGGCTATGATGATTGATCAGAGAGTTTCTTGACCACCTTTCCTAGTTTTGTTTTGCTTATGCAGTAAGGATACTCATCCTTTAAGTGTGGGGTTAGAGACTCTCTGTGGTTTGTTTAGTATTATATTAGTACCATGTTAGCTTCGTATTTTGATTTTTAGCTGCTTATTTTCATTTTAGGTTGCTTGCATAGAGTTGTAAATCCATTAGTATCGTATTTAGTTATGTAGTATTTTAGTAGTAGATTAGTATATTAATTTAGTTTGTTGATTTAAAAAAATGAAAAATATGGAAAATCGAAAAAAATTAAAATAGTGGACTTTTCCCGACAATGGATCTTTCTAGACACTTTTCTTAAGGGTTTAATGTTTAAACAAAAACACAAAAAAAAAATTAAAAATATAAATCCAAACACATGTCTTTTAGTTTTATTTAAGGAGTAATAATCCCCTGTGGTTTTTCTTTGTGCCTCAGTTCTTTTCCATGGAATGTAGCTTGAACAAGGTAGTTTTCTTTTCTTTTTTTGAGTAGATTAGGACTTAGGAAATAAAATGGAGGAAGAATTATGATATTTATAGGAGTTTTTGGCTTATTTGATAGTAGCGTATTTATGCTTTGGCATGTGTAGTATCTTTCGTATGCATCAAAATTGCTTGTGAAGCCTGGATGAATTGGATTGTATGTTTTATAACGCATATGTCTTATTTTTTTGAATTATTTTCACTTTGTACTTTATGTTTAATATCTTGTGCCTCCGTGAATACTTGATTTGGTTTGAGAATCGGAGTGAGACCGTCCTGAGTGAGTCACTTCCATGTGTGGTATTAATTTTGTGTAGTCCTTGCATTATAATTGAGTCTATAACTTGTCGGCATGTGAGTTGAAGGTGTTACTCTGTTTGAAAAATGACTTTAGGCTTTCTTTGATTTTGTTGAGCGTAATTCTTATAACAAATAAAATTATCCCTAGTTAGCGTGTTTGAGTTTATAAACTTTTATTAGGCACATGCATTTAAAGCCTATACCTTTTTGTTACTAATTGATATTGTTTTGATCCATTTACCTTTAAGTGTAACATGAGCACTAGAAAGAAGTAAGGAGGGAGCTTGGGTGACTTTTGAGTGGAATCAATGAAAGAAAAATAGGTGCACTTGTATCATAAAAAATTCAACACGAAGTGCAAAACACAAGAAAAGTGTGAGAAAAAGTTTTAAAAAGGTAGAAGAAAATAAAAGGGAAAACAATCTACAAGAAAGAAAAATATAGCAAAATAAATAATACATCTTTTCCTTAGTAGTGAGTGTGAATTAAAGTAGTGCTTAGAGAAAGAGAGAACAATTTTGGGGGTGATCTTGTTTGTAAAATTGACACAAACTACTCACATACTGCCAATCCAGTCCATCACACGTAAAGTATATACAAGAATATATGTATAGGATTAATGGATATCAAATCACATACTCGTGGACTAATGAAAATTAACATGCTAAGGTGTATGTATCTGCGAAGTAGTACATCACAGATTAGGCGGATACACCATAAAATAACGAATATCATGTTTGAATAGGAAATCAACATACACATGATCTCTAGCATGATTCAATAGGTTCACGTAGTCATAAAAATATATGAGGCATGATATCAAGAATCATATTATCCAAAACAAGTCATAATATAATCTAAAGACTACCCCGAACATGGATAAAATCTGATGCACGCACACACACTCATCGCCCTGCATGTACGCCACCCTTGGAATGTAGCCATCATAAAAAATTCAATCAACTAGTCCCTTAAACAAAAACTAGGAAAGATACGTACCTCAAACGAAAAGAATCAACACTCCAAGAGTTCCTTCCCTCGCAAATCAGCCTCCGAACGTCTCAAATCTAGTCAAATAACACACTATGTTATCAAATAATGCTAAAAGAAACGATTACGGAGCATAAAGGATCAATCTTTGATCAATTACACAAATTCAACCAAAATATCAACTCTTTCCCATTTCTTGGAACTCGACATAAATTATAAATCTTGACAACCCATTTGAATACGAGTCTAAATATACAAGTTTCGTACAAATTAGACTCCAAATGAGGGTTCAAAATGTAATTATTCACTTTCAATAATCTAGTACAAAAACCCCAATTTTTCTCTTTTCTATTCATGTTCTAAGTGAACGAATCTACTGGGAATTGAGGGATATAATCAAATCCATGTATAAATTACTTATCCTCAATGTGGTAATGAAAAGCTTCCCAAACAACGCCTCAATCCTAGCTCCAAAACTCAAAATAATAAAAGATTGGACTAAAATTTAGGTACATTAATCAATGTCAGTGATCTCGTATCTGCAGCCCTCAAAGTCGCTTCTTTCTTGTTGCTTCTGCAGCCATCGACTCTCATCTTCGAGCATCATTAAACAGCCGACCCTAGTACTTGCTGAGCAAAATTCCGCTTTTGCGATCCCGTAGGTGCTCCCACTCTTTGCTTCTGCGCATCCTCTTATGTGCAACAACCTTTGCATAAGCGGTCCTTTAGCTCCCAGCTTATGCACGCATCTGCGTCCATCCCTTTGCAACTGCAACGTTTCACCTGCCCATCAAACCTTGCATGTGTGACACACCAACATCAAAACTGCCCTTAACACAAAAAATGGTTTGGAACCTCTGAATCACACCTGAGGCCATCGAGACCCTATTCAATCATACCAGCAAGTCTAAATAGCTAATCAAAAATTATCCAAAGGCTCAAAACACTACAACTAACATCAAAATCAATAATCGACGATCAAAATCCATCTCTTAACTTCCAACCTTTCCAACTTTGCCGAACATGTCCGAATCATGCCCAAACATTTTGGATTCTAACTAAACTTTATACACAAGTTCCAAACCACTATAACCTATTTTGTGTTTTGAAACAACAACCCGAGTCCGATATCATCAAATTCAACTCCCAATCAAACCTATAATATAGCGACCCGACTAGTCGTTTTGAGCTTTAGCATTCTATTATGTGGTTCAAGATCTTGAATGGCATCATACAGCGTAATATTACTTGCGTGTGTGGTTGGTTTCAATTTTCAAGAGTTCAGAATTAATTTGGAAGAATCGTTTTTATTTTAGAAGCTTAAGATGGAACTGTTAATCGAGGTTTGACATTTTTGGAAATGATCTTGAATGGTGTTTTGATGGATCTAATAAGTTTGTACAGTGATTTTAGACTTGGGCGTATGTCCGGAGTTGAATTCGGAGGTCCCTAGGTTGATTTAGCTTGTTTTGCCAAAAGTTGGCAATTCCAAGGTTTAGAAATTCTTTATATTTGACCATGATTTGACATTATGGCTAACGGGTTTGGATTTTGATTTTGGGACTTGGATTCGGTCCGATTTTTTATTTAGAGCCTGTCTGCACAATTTCGTGTAATTCAAAGTTGGTTTGATAGAATTGGGACGCTTGGTTGCAATTTTAGAGGTTCTTGAGTTTTCTTTTACAATTCATGTGTTTTGATACCTGATTCATGGTTCTAGATGTTATTTTGGTATTTTTATCACGCGAGTTAGACTTGTGTGGATGTTTGGTTTGGAGCCTCGAGGGATCGGGTGAGTTTTGGACGTGTTTCGTATTGGATTGAACTCATTTTTGCGTTGCTGGTGTGCTGCTGCTGCATCGTCGCAATTGTGAGCACCAGCATTGTAATTGCGAAGTAATCAGTAGCGGCACAAGTATCGCCATTGTCATGCCCCGACCTTGGAGAGCGCAACTAGCGTTCAACCGAGATATCCTAGTAAAGCAAGCCTACTTAATGCCTTCTACCTAACCTTACCCAAGAATTATTTGAGAATCAATAACAAGAGATAGACACGTGAAGATACTACAGTATGTAGCATCATCTTTCATTACTTAAAGGGGGCTTCATTTAAAATTTCCAAAGATTACACGTTCATATTAAAAAGTGGAACATCTGGTAACTACAAAATTCAGAGTCATTGTCCCTAAGTCAAACACAACCCACACTATCTCTACGGAGCCTCTAAATGGACCAGAAGAGTAGTATGAAAGTGTTGGTGACAAGGACCCGACTATATCACAAAACACTATGTACAATATTAAGTGACAAAGGTCCACGAAGTAGAATAGGGCTCACCAAAATCCGCTCACTAGAGGTTGTGCTGCTAGAATTGATCGGGTTGGCCTGCTGTGGAACCACCTGCATCCATTAAAAATGCAGTGTCCCCGGAAAAAGGGACATTAGTATATATGGAATAGTACTAGTATGTAAATCTAAATAACCTCTCATGGAAATAGGATGCCAACAAAAGGAGAGAAACATGGAAACAATGAGTATATCAATAAAATTTTAAATGTCAAGATAAAACTAAGTAAAACTTCGAGTAAACATTTTCATTTTTGGTTAGGCGATCCTTAGTACTGATACACCACCATGCCCATGGCATGGAGTCTGATCACCGCCCGACCAGCTAAGCCATCTCACTCAAAGTATGAGGATTGACATAGAAACACAACACCACCATGTGCGCAGCATGGCGTCCAATCTCTGCCTGATCGGCTAAGCCATCTCACCACAATATTATGTGGGTCGACATGCTCTTCGCTAGCTATCAACTCATTCCAATTAAGGGGAATAATCTCAATATAATGTAATGGGAATCTATCCCTACATCGCCACATGTAGTTTCAAGCTCGGGCAATTATAACCCAGCCCTCCTCGGTGACCTAACGATACTCCTAAAAGCATTTATCATAAAAAGCGTCATTTACTGTTCATAACTCTCTTTCTTCCTTTCATTTTCAGTGTCACTCTTGGCCTCACATATGAATCATCATTCTTGGCACGATGGCCGTATTTCAGATTCCATACTTTCATTCTTTTATTACCATTCAAGGATCATCCTAAAACATTTAAGGATATTTGAAATATTGAGAAAGGAATCGTATCTTCAGCTCATATGCATGTAAGAATTCAAAACACACTGCGAATAACCATAAAAGAGGAGAATAGCATTTTTCAATGAGAGCAAGAATCGAATCATAAGCCTTTGAGCAAGCTAACTATAGAAACAGACTGTAATGATGGAAATGGGGGCTTGATAAAACCATAGTTGATGTTTACGATAATTTCGTGGAATTTGATTATGCGGAAAGAGTTTAGCCAAC